TGGTGGAACGTACGGTATACACACGGCACAAGTGTATTCTGTCCTGATGACACACACACACACACACACACACACACACACACACACACACACACACACACACACACACACACACACACACACACACACAGACCTGGGAGAGCAGTGCGTTCCAGAGGACTGCTGATGGTACTTTACATTCAGAGTGCTGCTCATTTGCCTCACACACGTTTCCTCCCACAGTCAATCCTATATACCTCTTATCATTAGCGCTCTTGTACTGTATAGTGCTGCAATGTGCGGGCTAACAGCTACAATTAATATTCAAGAGCGATCTGAATTCTAAACACATCAGAGGCCGGTTACATTGTGTAACAAACTCTGCAAAGACAACATCGAACAACCCTGCTGTGAATGCAAATGTGAAAATGTCCGACTTTTGGCTCTTCAAAGACTTATCTAACTTTTTTGTAAGTAATCACAATCATCTGAATCAGAATACTTAATAATTCATCCCCGGAATCCCAGGGAATCATATAAATGAGTTGCTTAATGTTTGAATAAATAATTACACAAATGAATAAGTGGAATACAAATAGTAAAAATGTGAGATAAGTCAAATAAATCAACAATGTATACAAAAGTTAATTATGCAAATCGAGCTTTTGAGAGATTGATTTAAGATATTCTAATATGAATAAAGTCCTTATTTTAAGATGAATAAATTCAATATATTTTAAGAATACATTGGAACTTGTATATCATATTAAAATTATATATTTATATGTCACCATCAATAAAGGGCTTTTAACAAACTTTCCAACCAGGAAAAGCATGATTTGGTCTTTCTGTCTGTCTCTGTCCATGGTGCTGAAATACCCCAGTTTCCCACTCAAACACTCATCTTACTGTCTGTCTCTGTCCATGGTCCTGAATTCCAGTATTAGTCCTCTCCACAGTGTCGAAGCATTCTTTCTTTGCCTCTATCCACCCATAAAGTGACATCATGCAGTCGTGGGTTGGATGTTCTTACCTTGAGGAAGGAGAGGTTGCGGTTCCGATCGATGCTGGTGATCTCCAAGTTGCCCATGACCACCTCACAGTTCTCGTAGAGCTTCTTCAGGGTGCGGTACTGCAGGTCCAGGTCCGACAGAGTGCTCAGCTTGTTCTCAGTGCCGGGACAAACTGGAATGGGAGACAGAAATAAAATGACGTCAATTTAGCACACAAACATTTGACAATAAAGCCGAAAAGTCAAGTTTGAACACAGCTAAAAACAACAAATTGTCCGAAAAGGGAATTAAAAAATGTAGACGGTAAATCAGTCTGAAGGTAGTTGGCTTGGGGGTTCAAGTCCCAATCAGACCAAAGTGTGGACTGGTATATGTATAGGATTGTGAGAATTGTGCATGTGTTCATGTGTGTATTTTGCCCTATGTGTGTAGTGTGAATAACTTAATCTGTGCAACCACCTCCTGCGCGAACATCAGCAGGCTGGCTCAAGGGTGGATGTGGACACGACTGCAACGGCACTACTCCACAAGCTGGACGCCACCCGAAGGGCCAGATGGACTGAAATTGTTGAGTCAATCGATTTCACCCATTCCAGCCGTAAGGCGTGGCAGATTATTAACCAGCTCACTGGCAGGAAAACAACACCCCCCAAGTGCCCTGTGACAGCAGATGCCATTGCAGCCCAGCTCCTGAAGAACAGCCAATTTCAAGGTGCAGACAAGAACTTCGCCCGCTTTACGCTGCGCGAGGTATCTTCCATCTCTAGGGCACCCAGTGTCGATGCTGACATCTCCGGGGAATTTACAACAGCTGAACTTAGGGCGGCCATTGGCAACCTTAGGCAAGGCAAGTCCCCGGGGCATGATAATATCCATCCGGAGTTCATGACCCACCAGAGTGAGACAACATCTGCCTGGCTCTGCTCCTTTTTGTACATCCTGCTTCCAGAGGCCCAAACTGCCGAAGACCTGGCGCCGTGCTGCTGTTATCGCTCTGCTGAAACCAGGCAAAACTGCGGAAGACCCCAAGGCCTACAGACCCATCTCGCTGCTCTGCGTCCCATTAAAGATTCTGGAGAGGATGATCCTCAGCCGCATAGAGCCAGTAGTAGACCCACAGCTTCCAAGGGAACAGGCTGGTTTCCGGCGGGGCAGATCAACAGTAGATCAAGTAACCCTGCTCACCCAGGACATCGAGGACAGCTTTCAGGCCAAAGACAAAGCTGGGGTAGTGTTGCTCGACCTAACGGCCGCATATGACACCGTCTGGCACGCGGTGGACTTCCGGCTGAGCGCGGAGGAAGTGAGGCGGTGCTGGTCGAGAGTTCGCGCGGCCGGGTGGCTGGTCAGCGCGGGAGGGCTTGGGGGGCATCTTGGACCAGCGTGATGGCAGCGAAGCGTGAGAGAGGATTGGACGGCCGGTGCCCAGGTCTGTCTGTTCCTTCTGCACTCGTGGTTGAAGAGTTTTCCGCCGGACCTTCCCGGAGTTATCCAGTAAATATGGTTTCGGGATGATCTGGCCATCATGGCTGCGTCCCCTGTTCAGCGGTGACAAGGTTAAACGGGGGCGGCCGTCCATCGCGCGCCGGCGTTGGGGGCGCGGGGCGGCCGCGCGCGGTGGGGCGCGGCGCGCGGTTTTTGCGCGACGTGCGGCGGGGCGGCGGGG